AGTGACATACATGAGTAGATTTAAGAAAGCAAGGTGTTTTCCTTACGCTGTTTGAAAAATGGCAGATTTTCTGCCCACTGAATTTCATAAGTTTTAGCACTGTAACCCAAAGGATATTATTTTATTATTTTCTAAATGACACGTAGAATTTTTGGTTTAAAACTTCATCCAATAAATTATTAAAGAACTCTATTCTTTCAATTTTCATACAATAGGAAGATCCCATTCCCACAGCATCTTCCACTTATCAATCTTCTGGTTCAGTTATCCCTAGAAAGGTGAAAATATACCTTTTACTGTCATCCACATAAAGAAAGATGAAAATAACTGTTCACATAGAACCACATGGAGGAAAAAATCATCAGTGATGGGAACAATTTTTACCTGATTTCAACAGCACCTTAAGTCATGTGAGATGAATTCCATCACAGCTGCCTTCATTCAGCCCATTGCAGTACAGCATCATCAGCCACCTCAGATTTACGAAAGGCAAGTTATGCCATATTAACCTGGTCACCTTCCACAATAAAATTTTACCTTCTGTTGGCTTGGGGAGATTGGTGGCTGCTGTTGACCTGGACAGCAAAGCATTTGACACTGTCTCCCACAGTCTCCTCTTGACAAACTGTCAAGACACAGGACAGAGATGGCCTACGAGGTGGGTAGGAAACTGTCTCACTCAGGGCGTGGAGAACAATAGTTTTTACTCAGGCTGGCAGCCTGTCACATGTGGGGTCCCCTAGGGATTGATAATTGCACTCAACACCTTCACAAATGATCTGGATATCAGGATGGAAAGCACTGTCATCAAGATTTCTGATGACACCAAACTGGGTCGTGTTGTGAACACATCAGAAGGAAAAGTCATGTCACGGAGAGACCTGGACAGGCTGGAAGAGTGGATTAGTGAAAACTCTATGAAGTTTAATGAAGTACAGATTCCTGCACCTGGGATGACACAACCAGAGAGCCCTGTACAGGCTTTGGTCTGTGTGGATGGGAAGCAGCCTTGCTTAATAGGACCTGAGTTTCCTGGTGGACATGCAGCTGAGGATGAGTCAGCAGTGAAGCTGCTGAAGGAATGAAGGTAAATGGGATCCTGGGCAGCATCCACAGGGATAGAGAAGAGATCAACGCACTCTATGCTGTTCAGGCCTGGAGCACTGTGTCCATCTGTTGTCCTCACAATTCAAAAAAGACATGGACAGACTGGAGAGGGTCTAAAGGAGGGCTTGAAGATGATCAAAGGGCCAGAGAACCTGCTCTGTGAGGAAAGACTGAAGGAGTCAGGTCCTTTCACCTTGGAGAAGAGATGACTCCAGGATAATCATCACAGTATTCCAGTACTTAAAATGGCAACTAAATAAAGGATGAAAGCTCTCTCTTCACAAGGAGTCACAAGGAGAGGACAAGGGGCAATGAGAGCAACTTGCATACAGACAGGTTTCATCTTGACATACGAAGCAAACCTTTTAGTGAGAACAATCAATCACCAGAACAACCCAGAGATGTGGTAGAGTTCACATTGCTGGAGGTTTTCAAGATGTGACTATATGGTGTGCTAGCTGATCTCCCCTAAGCTTCCTTTTACATGAGAGGTTGGATCAGATGATGTCTCCACGTCTCTTCCAATCTGGGCTATTCTATGATTTTATCATATGACTTTGCCTCAATCCCTCATAGTGGTGATTTAAAACAAATTCTGTCCTACTGTTGTAGCATATATGTATACCCAGCATGCACATCTCAGCTGATGATAAACAGTAATATACCATAGCTTAACCTGAGATGAAAATCTTGCAGCTGTAGGACAGATCTAGAAATCCTTAATGGATTTAGCCAGACCGTTTTTCTAAATGAAGCTAGTGGCTGCTTACCTGAGTCATTTCAATCAGTGGGAGTAAGGACTGAAATTAAATTTCTGAAGATGGATTAAAACATTTGGCCAAATAAAAGAAGAAGGAACAAATCCCCCTAACCATTCCACATCTGAACAGGTTCTATAGTGCTCATACTAGCAGAAAAAAAACAGAGATAACTGAGAAACAGATGAAGCAATTAAAAAGGTATACTTAAAATCATCATCAACACAATTTTAATGTAAGCAAGAATCCTGTCTTTATAAAGAGCTGCTGAGTGACTCCCAGCAGATGTAAGCACAGGCAGACAGAGAATGTAATCTGTATGTTAGTGTTACAGATGGCTTCTGCAATTTTTACTGTTTGAAGTATCATACTGTCCTATGTCCCTGAGTCTCCAGGGTCCCAAACCTGTTCCTTTTTTTTTTTTTTTTTTTTTAATATTTAACACGAAATATTTTCTCCTCCATTTAACTCGTGGAATAAGGTCTTAAACCAGCAGTTCTGTGAAGCTGAATTAATTTGTGTCTGTGGAGGACTGTGAAGCACTGTGGGGAGACATCTCTTAAAACTGCAAAGTAGTTTTGCTGTTACAGTCAAACTCTCAGTGGAGTGATATGGAAAGAATGTCAAGTGTGAACAAATCTGCAGTTTGTGAATGATGCAGACATCTACTGACTGTGGTGAGCAGGTGCTGGGGTCTATCTCATCCACTCAGCTACAGAAACAGTCACTCAGCACTAATTCCAGCTTTTCTCCTTGGCAAACAGGTGTGCTGAGTTCTTAAAATACAAGGAAGAGGGTGGCATGGCAAGAGCATATTGCTTTGGTGCTGACAATTTTCTGTGTTGGATTTCACGCTGTAATGTCATACCGTGAAATGATTAAGTGGAAATTAGCATGTTTCCTTCTCCTCCTCCATTTTTTGTGCTTTGAATAAATGCAGTTTCCCAGTTTTGCCTGTTTCTATGGGTCACTTTTTCCTCAAGCCTTGAAGCAAACTGCTGCAAGGTTTTCTTGGCTTTAGTGGACTTTGGTCCACCTTTCTAGCACAAGGTCATGTACAGCATTGGCTGTAGTGCTCAGAATCTTCTTCCAGAGCTAGGCTAGATTTTCCATCCAGGTAATACTTAGTCTTTCTTCACAAAAGAAAAAACAAACAAGAAAATATGCTGAAAGAGAAAAATCTGACATAGAGATTGGTCGGCTGTAAGAAAGACCAAAGACACTGACACCTCACCTACAAACAAGAACACTTTATCCATTGGGGTTGTAAAAAGCTTCAGGATATTTATCCCAGACTGCTTTTGCTCATAAGGAGAATGGTATTAAGAATTGAATTACCCTGATAACCTCTATGGAGATGTGACACTACCAGGCACTGGGGAATCCCAGGGTTATATGGCTACACTCGGGACTGTTCTGGTTTGACGAGCAAGGAGGTGATAAGTATGCAGAAGCCTCTCTATCCACACAGCCTTTTGTGCTCACAAGAAAAAGGCTCCTTAAAAATCTTCTTTGACATCAGTGACTACAATTTTGTTGTCCCCAAGGACTGCAGACACAACAGCCCATGACATGCTTTCACAAGGTCCATATAAAACAACTGATAAAAGCAATTTTATTGTAATTTGGATCAAATTCATTATGTCGAGCTCTACACTGAAACACTGTTAGGGCTATATGACTGAAAAAGAAGTGATAACATGATGTGTAAACACTCCCACCTTTACTTATGCAGAAATGAGCCTAAGTTGTTCCCTTTAATGAAATCTGTGTTATTTATCGTATTGTCTGTGACTGGACATTTTCCTAAAACACAATAGGGTAAGATCAGTGTTCACAGATTCTGTAAGCAGGCTGGTAAGTGCCACTGAACTAATGACTCATTTTCTCTAACTGCAGAAAATAGACAGGAACAGTAGGTGTTTATTTTTGTCCTTCTTTTGATGTATCATTTAGGAAGAACTATGTGTAGAAAAAATGTGAAACTAATGAAAAGATAAATTCTTTGGACTTGACATGGCAAACTTGTGATAAGCTGGTGAAGAGCAATGGAAGCATCAAAACTTTCAGAGCAACCAAAGTTTACAGAGCAGTTAAAAAGAGAGAAAGGTTTTCTTTCACAGCCTTTATAGAAAAAATCATCACCCAAAACTTTCCAAAACTGATTCTGCCATTCACCTTACAACTGAGAAGGAATGACAGAAATCCCAGATGAGAGAGGGGATGAAAAGCAAAGCATAAAGGATTAAGTAACTCATGCAAGATCACTAAGGAAATCTGGTAGAGATGCTGCAGGGTTCCCATCACATCAGTGCAGAAATGTTAGAAATCCAAGTAGGGTACTACACAGACTTGTTTGGAAATGTTTTGCTAACATGTTTTTTTAACTGTAAAATTACCATTTGTTGCAACTTTTCATGTGACTACAAGAGTTTTCCTGAACTTTGGCCAGAAGGGATTCTTCAGCTCCGAAATAGAAATTCTAGTCAAAAACAGAGTCTAACAGTGCCTTCAGATAGGCGAGAAACAGACCAAATTGCTAATTTAATTAATATTCTACTGCTATTCAGGATGAGACAGCTGTAACAGGAGAGCCTGGGGCAGCCTGGAGGGTAAGGTGTTAGGTGTGAGTGTAATTTTCATATCACAGGTTCTTGCATTTCTCCACCAGCTAGAGACCATTCTGAAGGGCTGTCACCGTTGTTTGCTGTAGTTGATCAGTCAGTTAGTTTTTTTTTAATCATTTTAATCATTTTAGTAGTTTAATTGTTTTGACTTAAGTATTGTTCCTTAAATGGGAAAAAAATATTGTCATCCTGAAATAACATAGAACATTCATGTTTTCAACCCTAAAAAATATTCCCCAGGCAGAAATAGCTGTATCCTACATTTCATCCCAGGTTTAGTGCTTAGAGTCCTAGCGGAAAGAAGGTTAATTAGGAACAAAAACTGTGCATGGATTTACAAGTTCAGCCTCCTGCATGTTACAATCAAGCCCTGTTGACACACAGTACAAATGTCATAGTCTCGTAGAATCATAGAATGGTTTGAGTTGGAAGGGATCTTAAAGATCACCTAGTTCAAACCTCCCTGCCATGGGCAGGAACACCTTCCACTAGACCAGGTGCTCGAAGCCCCATCCAACTTGGCCTGGAACATTTCCAAGAAATGGGGCATCCAAAGTTTCTCTGGGTAACCTATTACAGTGCCTCAACACAAAGTGAATTCCTTCCTAGTATCCAATTGAAGTCTACCCTCTTTCACTATAAAGCCTGTCATCTCACTTCAGGCAGCCCATTTTGCAGATATACTTGCTGTGTACAGCTTCCAACCCTTCAGCCCTCAGCATACACAGTCTATACATCTTCCCTGCTCCTACAGAAAGCCTGGAAGAGCTGAAAGCTTGGGTAAATCGCCCTTCCTCTTAAATGTGTTTCTAGGTCATGGTGGTTTGTACTGTTTCTAATTTCTAAATGGTTATTTCTTTTCCTAGGTGGAAAAACTTCAGTGCTTAAATCGACAGATGTGTTGTTTGTCGCTGTTGTGGTTGCTGTTACCTTTTGTTTACGAGCTGGGATGCCAAACTTCCAACCTCATTTCTCATGCATTTTCCACATCATTAACTGTTTAAATTTCCTGTGCTTGGACGGTTGTTGCTTCTTACTATCAATTCTCTCCAACGTGGCTGTGTTGAAATGTAGAAACTGTTATAAAATCACAATAGAAAAAAGACCAGATGGCATCAATACCTGCTAATGTACCCCATGTTCATGCTCCAGCATGTGTCTGATAGATGGGATAAGAGCTAGCCACTGATATTCTGTTCGTGTCATCGTTTGCTGAGTTTGTTTTTTAATTAACCATATGCTCCCAAGAAAACCTTGAAAGCATTTAATGTGGTTCCCCAAAATACATCTGCAACGCACCTTAGAAATGGACAGCATTTTAAAACATAACCCCTTTTCCTTTGTAAAGAGGAAATACATCTTATGAGAAGAAATTGAACAAGTTTCTATTCCTGTTTCTTCCCTAACTGTTTTCTAAGAGCCATCAGTTCACATGTTTATTGGTCTCTAAGCTGCACAGTCTCTAACGACATGGTTACATTATGCATTTTTTAAAATCCAAACATTTTTAAATCCAAATAATTATCAATATGACCAAAAAGTAGTTGGAGTCACTTTCATTGTGCAGTCTCCTTAGACTCCTGACACCTCTTAGACGTTTATGAAAGCAGTGCTGGATGCAGACTGTCAGTCACTGACTTTCTGTGCAGTCAGTGAGGAAAAACAGTACCATCCCTGAAATTTGGTATCTGTAGTAAATGACTAAATATGCCATCCTAGTTATGCTTTTCTACCATTCATGCAGTCGGCTTCCATCTGGCAGCCTTAGGTAGCAAGTTGCTGGATTTGTTCCATGGTCCCACCACTGTACTCACCGTGCTCTCTCACGTGTACTCAAAGTAGAGCGATGACGCTCACGGCAGAGGAATTATTTCTGGGGTTTGTGACTACAGGTCACTCTTATAGGGAAGGGACAGCTTGTCATGGCAGGGAGGAAGGCAATTTTATGTAGGTTTTACTGATGTTAGTTTGATTCTAACAAAAGAGTTAGAGCAGTCTGGTTTTCCTTGTCTTAATGGGGATCTGAAAGTATCCTAGAATCGTAGAATATCCTGAATGGAATAAACCCAAAAAGGATCATTGAGTCCAACTTCTGGCCATGCACAGGACAGCCCAAGAATCCCACCATATGCCTGAGAGCATTGTCCAAACACTTCTTGAATTCTGTCAGGCTTGGTGCTGTGACACTGCCCTGGGGAGCCTGTTCCAGTATGTGTTATTTGTATTTCCTTGTGGCTTTTAGAGCAGAATTTGTATTTCCTACCTTCCCAAAACTTACCTAACTAAATTTCATATCCAGCAATGTAGTCATTGACATCTGAGCAAGTTTTTTGTGTTCCTGTTATAGTAAATAGAAAACAAGTCCACAGAGTCAGTGAAGCACAGGGTGAGTCATTTAACCAGACGTAGGTATCTACTTTGGGATGACATGAATCACCTCCTTCATTGATCATCTAGAAACCCAAGGCCAACTTTTAAAGATGCTGATGCCGCCTTATATTGTCTCATATGGTAACTTAATTAGTGTGCTTTGCCTCCCACCTTAGTTTCTTGACTTTTGAAATAGAGATCGTACAATCAGCCACCCAGTTTGCAAGAGATGAAGATAATGAGTTCATGTTTGTACAGTGCTGAGGAAATCTTAAATCCTACAAGCTGTGCCTTAACGATATAGTCTTAACCCATAGTGATGAAGACATACTGTTTACATACAGACAGCAAGAGAGCCATAAGCTCTGGTTATGCTGGCAGCCCTTCAGGGTCTCTACATGGCTTTCAACATTAGGTATTTTGTAAATAGGAACATTAGGGTAGATATGTTGGAAAACTTGCCTGGAGTAAAGCAGAACATTTTCAACTGAGCTAGGATAGTGAATTTTTGTGCACAGCTCCTGTAACAATTGCTAATTGTCAGCTGTAATGTAATTCTGCCTTCAACAACCTGTGATTCCCTCATTTAATCCTGAGGGAATACAGTTGATTTTTGTGCCACATATTTTATGTTGGCTACTGAATGCCTAAGAAATGCCTTCAAATACTTCAGGATGAAAAGAGATAGATAAATGTTATTAATTATCATTGCAAGTAAGGTAATTTGTTCCAAAATGTCTGCAGTGTTCATGTATCTAATGATTCAGGGTGTTTCATAACTCATTAGCCTTCAGCTGATGTTTTATAGCTTTCCTGTGTCAGAAGGAATAACTGATTGTGGTTGTTAAAAGCATGGCTCAGTGCAAACCATTGCTACCATCTATATATTACACAAATATCTTTAAAAAAATCTTGGCTACAGTATTTCATCAAGGCAACTGAGTGTGTAAATCAGTAACAGTTGAAACCTGTAGTATCAAGCCACCAAAATTGTTCACTTATTCTCCCTGACAAAATTTTCAGCAGCAGATAAATTGTCCTGTCCTTAGAGGTGGGGTGAGATACTGTAGCCATGAGATAAGACATGAGATAATCTCTGAGGTGATAAAGTCAAATGATAAAAGTTTTCACTATAGCCATGTATATAAATGATGACTGGACCGCACAATCCTTTTAGAAGAGTAACACTACTGACATACATCTAATCTATTCAGTAAAAGCCTGATTTGCCCTTCTCCTCTCCAAAGTAATCATGAAAATTACAGCCAGAAAGGTTAAACAGCACAACCGCATACTATTCTCATGGAATAAAGAAAGGTAATCGGGATGGATTCTACAAACACATCAGGAGCTAAAAAACAAAACAAAAACAAAAACAAAAACAAAACAAAAAAATAGGCAAAAAAAGCGCCAAACCCAAAGGGAAATGTGTATCTATTTCTTACCTGAAAAGAACTAATAATAAAAGAGCAAGAAAATTCAATATTCAATACCCAAATACTAGTTAAGTGAAGCTGAAGTAAAAAATCTATTACTTTTAAGAAGAGGATAAGAGCCCAATATATAATAAGAAATAATAGGTTAAGGAATATTTCAGTTAATTAGATGTGTTACACAACAGTGTATTCAACACCCAGTAACAAGTGGCGTCCCTCAAGGGTACACTGGGACCAGGACTATTTAATGTATTCATGAGTGACACAGTAAGTGGGATCAAGTGCACTCTCTGCCAGTTTACAGACCACCAAGCTGAGTGCTACAGTTTATTTGCTCGAGGGAAAGGATGCCATCCAGAGGGACCTGGGCAGGCTTGAGGGATGGGAACATGTGACCCTCATGAAGTTGGACAAGGCCAGGTCAGCAAGGTCCTTCACCTGGATCAGAACAATCCAAGATGAAGGATGAATGGATTGAGACCAGCCCTGCAGAGATGCTGGTGGATGCAAAATTAGACATGAACTGGCAAGGTGCACTTGCAGCCCGGGAAGCCAACATATCCTAGGCTGCATAAAACAAAGTTGGTCAAGAGAGGTAATTCTGCCTCCAAAGTCCACTTTTGTGAGAGCCCACCTGGAGTGCTGTGTCCAGCTGTGGGCCCTCCAAACACAAGAATAACATGGACTTGGAGCAAGTTCAGAGGATGCCATAAAGATGCTCAGAAGGCTGGAGCACCTCTGCTATGGAGACAGGCTGAGAGAGTTGGGTTTGCCCAGCCTGGAGGAGAGAAGGCTTCAGAATGGCCCTGTTTGATCTTTCAGTATATAAAGGGGGCTTATAAAAAAGATCAAGAGAAACTTTTTACCAAGGTCTGTAGTGACAGGACAAGGGACAATGGCTTTAAACTGAAAGAGGGTAGATTTGGATTGCACATAAGCAAGAAATTTTTCACAACGAGGATGGCAGGACACTGGAACAGGTTGCCCAGAGAAATTGTGGACATACCATCGTTGGAATGGTTCAAGATCATGTTGGATGGGGTTTTGAGTAACTTGACCTAGTGAAAGGTGTCCCTGTGAAAGAGGATTAGAACTAGAAGATCTTTGAAGGTCTCTTCCAATTCAGACAATTCTATGATTGTAACATTGATTCCTGGTACAAAATGAATTTCAATTTTTAAATTATCTTCCATGTCTAACACACATAAAAAACAGTCATCATTATTCCACTATAATTAGTAGTAGGGGATTGTGAGCTAGAAATCAGTGACCTGCTCTGGGCACCACACATTACAAATATTTCTGAAAAATTTGAGAGAATGCAAAAAAAAAAAAAAAAAAAAAAAAAAAAAAAAAAAAAAAAAAAAAAAAAAAAAAAAAAAAAACCAGAATAGCAAGCAATGTAATAAGCATGACCTGTGAAAGAGTCAGAAAGGTGTGAGATGATGGCATAGTGTGACAACAGTCTTCAAACATGCAAAAAACTTGTATTTCATGTTCTCTGTGAAAGAACAAGAGGGAATCAGTAATAATTTGTAGCAAGTGTTACTCAGCTACAAAATGCCACCTATGAGGATGATGGCACAGAGTGACAAAGCCCACTGCAGTCTCTCAATCACTGGGTGGTTCTAAAAATATATCAGATATAGCAGGATATGTAAATAAGATTGTCTAAACAGTCACTCAATGACCCAGACAGTTACAGCTCTGTTCCCCAAATATATTCTCACTATTTTGTGTGAAGAGAGAAGAGAGGGCAAGAGCTAACAAATGGGCTCTGCTAACAAGAAGCTATAACTGAATCCTATACAGATTGTCTGAGTTGTACAAATGGATCATTTTAAAAACTCTCTTATTGCCCTGTTCATAGGGGAACCAATATAGAGGTTGTCAGAGACAGCCTTATTATGTGAAAGGCACTAAAAAAGTGAGGCTGGATTAGCCTGGTTTTGGAGCATCCCTTCAATTGCTATCCAGAGGCTTTTTCTATAGCACAGGGAACAGTATCATGAGTTTTTTTCTGTCTGTAAGTAGGAATAATCAGTTGAAGAAGTTTGCTCACTCAGACAGTTTTTAAAGGCAGGTTTTCATAAACATTACTGGAAATTTGACAACTAGTTGACATTAATTTCCAGTGCAACTGGGAATTTTTCATAGGACTATATTTATCTTGTTTCAGTCAAAGGCCACTGGACAAGGTATGTCTTTAGCCCCTGCTCTCTCAGCCCCTGGTTTCCCTCCAAGCATTCTGCTCCACCTCAGAGCCAGCCTCTGCCTCCTTGCATCTCCTTGGAAGCTTCTGTTAACAAATGTCCCTGCCTGGTGCAGCACCCTCCTCACCAGAGCTCATTCCAGCTCACCCCTTCCCAAGTCCACCTCTCTTTCAGGTCACTTCACTGCCTTTAAGCCCAAACAAACATAAAACACAACAATCCTTCTCTTGCTGTCTTCCAGCCTCCAGAAACCAGGGATGCAGAAGTGGCTAATTGTACGTGGCATCTTACTGGACTTGAATGGC